GTTCGATATACTTTCGAAATCGATTATCTCAGAAATATTTATATCAAAATATTGTTATGCACGTTATTATTACTTAATAGTTACTAATTTAACATTGTAGTTATTATTTATTAAATATATTATTATGGTTTCCTATTTCCACACTTTAATCATTCAAATGTAATAAGAACAAAAATGTTTAGCGATTATGGAATTCCTTCATTGTGTACATCGTATAATGCAAATGGGTTAACTCGCCCTGACGAAGAGGGTTTCGAAGTCCTCGACAGGAGCGTCATGCGCGCCAGACCTTGACCGCATCGGAGATTGAAATTCAAAGTTGAATTTTCGGGGACTGGGATCAGATCGACGTCGCCGGACCTTTTAGATGAATGTATAATTTATACGGCGGCCTCCACGGCTATGGGCAATTTTCGACGCTAGACGACGGAAAACTGACGCCTGTTTGGGGACGGTGCGCGGCTGCCACGACGTTCGCCGTTCTGCTCGAATAATGGATGAGGAATAAGCGCGGCGCACGTAAGAAGATTCGCGAAATTCCGAGTAAATATGGCTCTACTGGAGGATGTTAAGACCGCAGCTACCGATTTTTTATTATTATTGCACTTTCAGTTTTTAGCGATACATATTTCTAGTTATTTGAATCGTGATACAAGCTCCTATTGAAAGTTCTGCAGTTGCTATAGATATTTATGGAAATTGACAAGTTTAGGTACCAATTAATAAAAGAGAAAGTCGAATATAAGTTTGTTTCTATGGTACCTAGATTCTTCACGATATATCAATAGACCTCTAAATTCACAAATATCCTTAGTCTAAACATCACTATCTTTTCTATAACTATAGAAGACAGAGTTAAAGAAACTATATCTACTACCATATTTCTCGTTACAGTAATATGTACCAATTCCCATTACTTAATCACACAATTCGCACACAATAACTGTTACTTATCACCGTGAGCGGAATATTCCGCCATTACTTTCAGTTGTCTGTGTTACTCGACTATATCGGTCGGAGCAGATTAATTCCAATCAAAAGCTTGAAAGACTTTCAGCTGAACATCTCCAATTCGTAAAATAAGCTTCACATTTAGGGCGAAGATGCAAATGGATTACACAAAAATTCCCGTTGAATACTGTACACCTAGTAGAACCGCAACGCCACAGTACAAACGACACCAAACTACTTGGGTGCCAGCAATCCAGCATTAAACGGCAACCCAATTTTCTATCCATTTGCTAATCAGCGTTCGAGCCGTAGGATCCTCTAAAAGGATAACAGATCTCCATTATGCTTCGAAGATGAAACGTGTCTCGCTCGTAGACTCTAGATTCGAGTCAAATGTCAGCCAACCCGCTCCCTTTTCGACTGGAGTGGCGTGGAAGGCGAGTGGTAAGGAGAGGAGAGGGAAGCAACCGAAGCTGGGATCCGCATCGCGGATACCAGTTTCTCGATCCGATATTTCCACCAGACAATGGAGGGCCGGGGAAAGAAAACTCAATTGAAAGAGAAATCGGTAGACCGATGGTAGCCGCGCTATGGATTTATATTGCTGCCCGCCACGCGGATCGCATTGTGCGGAATCCCCGAGACGAATTGCGAATATTGCAAAACGCTCGGCGACCTTTCCAATTTATATTGTAACCTTTACGGCGAAACCTGCTTCGTCCCCGCGACCGTGGCGGTGGAGAGATTGAACGATTCACCGGGACGAACGCGGCGAATTGCGCGCTTTGCAAATTGCTGTTGCAAAGTTGAAAAACGGTATCATTAGGACAATTGAAAGTTCCGCGGCTCGGTCGCTTCGCGAACCACTGAAATATGGCGCCCGGCGCGTCCCCGTTCGAGAAACTGGGAAGTGTTTCGTAGCAGATTTTGTTTGTTCAACGTGCCACGTAATTTATGTACGAAGGGGTTCAAGTACTACTGGAAGTAAGAAACGAAGTTTGTCCATTTAAGATATTACTTTCATGACAATTGATCAATATGTGAATTAGTTGATCGTTTGTTTTTCGGAATTCAGTTTGTAATTATGTTAAGTACCTGTATCCGAGTAAATATAGACCATGTTGAAACAGGATATTTTCGGACGCTAGAGTTGAAAAAAGAATTATTCTGTAATCAAGCAAACTGTAACAAACGTTGAAACAACATGTAATCTCCTCGAAAACGAGGTTTCAAATGAAAGATGTTGTGCACTTTCGACTTATTTCTTTCGCGTAACATCCAACCCTTACAGACCACCCCGTAACCAAACGAAATTATTTACATAACTCTTGTATTTCAGGTAAAGTCCACTTCAGTCACGAACGTTTATCCAATGTATTACCTAACACTAATTTCATGAGTGTAAAACTCGATAATAAACACAAGCATAAATATAAACATAAACATAAGCACAAGCACAAGCACAATCACAAGCACAATCACAAGCACAAGCACAAGCACAAGCACAAGCACAAGCATAAACATGAACACAAACATAAAATAATCAAACAAAAGATGGTTTCAAGTTACTTCTCACACTTCTCGCTTTGAATTCTTCATTTCGCGTCAACTTTCTATCAGTCCTCATCGCGAAGATGTATCGTTTGCAACTTTGATAGATAATAACTTGTCTTGACTAGTTTTTCGAAAGCGCGTGTCGTTGCCCGTATTCCGCGCACGTATAACTCCGGGATCGGCACCCGCAACACGCCCACGTGTCCAGTCAACGTCCAACAGTAATATCTAAATCTGTTTCCAATAACGCCAAATACTGGCCCTCTTTCTAGACTCGCGGCCGTCAACCGTAAAATTGAATCAATCAATTACACCTTTCCTGGTTCCGTAATGAAATACCGGCCACGCTTTTTTACCCCGTCCGCTTTCATAACGGCCCCGCTTCGCGTTTTAAATCCGAACACGTTACTAAACTCGGCAACCACGTAACAATAACACGGAAACGTTGCGCCATTCGCCGATACCATTTTCTTGCGCGCTCAAAACCCGTCTCACAATATAAAACGGAACGTAAAAGTAAACAGAGAACACAATGGAAATCGTTGGGCGCGGATCACGAGAAATGAAATCGTCGCGTCGACGGGGACAGTGACAAAAGCGACCGATGATCCACGCAAAGGTTCTGTTATAGTTCGCAGATAGACAAAACGGGGCTGTTTTCGATATCCTTTTCATCTATGCGTGTATCTTTCTATTCCATTCTATGGGTAAATTTCTTTTGATTTTTTCGTTGAAAGAATAATTCCCTTAGCGAAAGATTTTATAGCTGAAGAAAATTGGAAATTTTGACACTAGGACTACAAAGTACTTGTATTAATTGGTTTTTTATCTTTTTCATTTCATTCTACAAAAAATTGGAAAAACAATAGGACTACTAAGTTATTAAATTGACTGGTTTGTATCTTTTTTTATAGAAATTAAAAGAGTATATTTATTGAGATTTCGATTTATTTTTATGTTAGAATACATATCGAATTGATTAATAATTTCTCAGAAAAGCGTTTGTACTTTTTTAATGATTTTAAGTGAAAGATCTTTTTTATCCATTTGGTAGATCTAGCGTCAATTCAGGAAACGAAACTTTACCACAAAATAACAATGATTCACGTTTTATAAGCGATTAAGACGTTGATACGTTAAAACAGTTGATACAGTAACATGTATGTTTGACAAATATAAACTAGAAGATAGTAAACAGGGGGAAAGATATGCTTATAGTGATGACGAAATAGGAATTGACATTTCTATTCCAACGAGAATAAGAGTGTCGAGTTTAGAGCTACGATCGTTGTAGTTGAATTTCCTTGACATTGCTCCAACAGTTTCTTGTCGATTGGAACCAAGTACTCGTGGAACTGAATAAAAGTCTCCCGTACAGAGACAGACTGTAAATCGATTTAGAGTCAGAAGTGATTCTATGTGCTTGTAACTTGGGTGATTTATTTAGATTTAACAAAAAGGGTCGTATATTGTATGAAAACAAAGGACTATCTATTAGTCTTTTATTTCATTGTGTGCAAAACGTGTTCGACGTGGTCTTTGTCAATTTCCATACGTGCTTCAATCCTTTCACATAGAAAATCATTACGTTTTCAAAATAAGTTAATAATTAAGATCCTTGTTTTATTATTAATCGCTTTATTATGGTCTCTATTACTGCAAATGAAACGAATGGAAATTTAAGAAGTATAGAAAAAAATAAAATTTAATTGCATGTTTACTTAAAAAATATAAATTTCCTCTCTTCTAATTACATATAGTTTTTCACCTATGAGGAATGTCAGCTTGTATTCCCAGATTCTTACGAAACGTGATATCCATGTAGAAGATCGACAAATGTTGGGCGTGTATTTTTATAGCTACCTATATTTATATTACAGATATAAAAATAACCTCCAAAGTTGAGGATGAATAACTCATCCAATGAAACACTTTCAAAATTAATGAAATGAAAACTGTTTCCATTTTTAAATAAAATTAAATTACGCAAGCAAGTTTATTGATATCCCTGAATGACTTTATTGAAGGCTGAATGACTCCAATGGATATTCTAAACATTGCTTAATAATTTTGTATACAGAGTTATAGAATCACGTACGTTACAGTAACACCATCAATAAATCAATAAAAATTTCGATCATCCCACCTTGCTCCCCACAAAATTTCTATTTCACATTTTTCATTCTACTTCCATAACTTTCCAAAACAAACGGGAACTAACTCCTACTAGTCGCATGGCTACCATTCAGCCACACGTAAATACACCTTTCCACACAATAAAACCCAAAAAAGAAACACAGAAAAAAAGATATAAAGAACAGTCGTCAGATACGCGGTTCAAAACCGAACAACGCACCGCGCTGGCCAAAGGAGAAAAGAGAACATGAGAAAATCGAGAAAAGGAGGAAGAGAAACAGAGATAGATACAGAAAGATAGACAGAGAGAAAGAAAGAAAAGAAGAAAAGAACAAAAAAAGGAAATAAATGAAACAAACCTTGCTTAATGACGATGCCAGAGGGCACTTGGACTATCGGTAGGGCGGCGTTCGGAGGGTTAACGGGGATGCTGCTGGGTGTCCCTGGTGGCGGGGATGCGCTGGCGCTACCCACGGACCCGGGATCGCTGAACCCTTGTGTGCTGTTCTCCTCCGGCCCGTCGAAGAAGCTCAGATTGAACTCACTACCGGCGTCGAACGACACTTCCGGCGTAAGGGTGTCCGGCGCCGGGGCGCTACCCAGACCCGCGCTCAGCGACTGGTCGATTTTGAAAACGTCCATTGTACGGTGAAGAAGTTACGCCGGCGATGGTGCACCTCGGTGTACCGACTGCGGTCACCATTCGCGTGTATCACGCCCGCGCTACTGGGATCGACGTCGACCTTCGTCCGCAGGGTCACTCATAACCGTTCCCATTCGGGCAAGCCTCTCTTCCGTGTTTATACCGTTCGCCCGGCTATCACGGCCGAGGTATCCTGAAAAGAAGCCGAAGCCGAAGACCGTCCGCGCGCGCGCGAGCAAATCCCCTTTCCGTCTCCACCCGGTAGGCAAGAGGCGATCACTGGGAATCCACGAACGGCCGATCCTCACCGGCGACCGTTATCCACGGCGAGTTTCCCCCGGCAGGCTAGAGGGATCGGTTATCCATTAGAGAACCGTAGAGAGCGTCGAGCGGCAGTCTCCGCGGCACCGTATCTTCGAGAACCCCGTGGAGTAGCTATCCGCGAATCGCGTGTCACCTAGCTGCTCGTTTATTTACGACCGCCGGTAGAACGTGGAGTCCGCGAAACGATGCACCCATCCGCGTTCGACCGACTAGTCACCTTTTCATATCGTTCCACGTGGCGCGAGAGAAACGAAAGGGGTCGCGCACTCGCTGAAGATACTCTGTGTCTGCCGCAGTATCCCGGAGCAATCGGTTCCTCACTGCGTCATCTCGGTGTTACAATTTTCGGGGTGGCCTTCGTGTTCCTCCGCGAGTCGGAACACTACTCCCTCTCGCGCAAGCGAATCGGTCCCGATGGTCACCGTTTCGAGAAAGAAGCATTCCTCTCGCGCTCTGCCGCTGGTCTCGCGCGCGCGTGTTCGCCGGGGTCGCTGACCGTTCGCTGCAAGCCGGAGTTTCAATGAAAATCGTCCGCGCAGCCGGACGATTTCGGGACGTCTCGCCGGGCCGGCTCGACCGTTCCGCGTCAGGTAAGTCCGCTGGAAAGTCCTCGGGGCACGTCCGCGTGACACCGAGTCGCTCCAGTTCATACACGGGCCCTCTTCTCCCAGACGCGGGGCACACGCACGCACCGGGGGCAACGGTTTTCGGCGGCCTTGAGCGCGCGTGTCGCCTCCGATCTGATACGATTACACGCGACTCGACGCTTCTATCGACGTTTCTATACGGTCGATGCTCGACGATCGACCCGGGAATCGATGTAGACGACGGACGAGCTGAAACCTTTCAGACGTCTAGCCTCCGGAAGCTTTTTATCCGTCTTCGTCGGATCCGCTTGCGGTTGAAGGATGTCTCGTCGCCTCGCGTTGTTTCTGTCTGTTCAGTGATCGACACAGGATTCGATACAACCGGTGGGAGAGCTCAGGCTTTTTGGACGTCCTGCTTGGGGCAGCTATTTATCTTTCTCCGTCGTAGCTAGTTCGCGGTTAAACGATACCCCGTCCTGTCCCGTTCGAATAGGAGAACGTAGGTGTACCGAGCGATCGATCCTTCCGCGTCGACCTGGATGAACGTATTGGGAGAGGGGGCCGGGTGGAGCGGGACTGCGAAAGTGTATCGAATGGAGAAGAAACAAGAATTACAAGGACAAGGGGGAAAGGGGGCTAAATAAAAATTCACACTTCACTGACACCGCGTCACAACTTCGCGCGCAGGGGGACACCCGTCTCCTCGTTAGCTCCGTGTTCGCCGCGGGCTGCGAAAATCCGTGGGATCGTGATCTTCGGAAGAGGTTTCAGCATTGTTCGGGACGACGGCGACGGGATCGTCTTGCCGCTCTGGCATGTTCTCATCAATGTTACTCGTTATCCTCTAACGTCTTTGCTTCTCTTTCTCTTTTTATTTTTCTTTTTCTTTTCTTTTTCTTTGTTTTTTTCTCTTTCCTTTTCTTTTTCTCTTACTCTTTCCTTTTCTTTTTGTCTTACTCTTTCTTTTTCTTTTTCTTTTCTTTTTCTTTTTCTTTTTCTTTTCCTTTT